GTTATAAATGTCCCAGTGTGGCCAGGGTAGAGGGGATTATTGTCAGGGTGCTTGCATTTCCCTTTAGCTGTTTTGAATTACTATCTGTCCCAGTCCAATAGCAGTTAGCCCATGGAAACCACAGTATGTGTTTAGTAATGTCATGTATCTGTTTCAGCCCCTCTTATTCTCTGCATTCATAATCCTGGCCCTACCAGGCATTCACTGAATTTCCTGTGCAGCTCCTGTGCATCATACATACAGAATTGCATTTGGCATCACTGACAGCACCCAGCTTCTCTAAACAATCCCCATCTTCACCTTGACACCCATCCCTTACTCACCCCTCATGCAGTTGCTACTTGTTCCCACAGTCCAAACAGCATCCTCAAATATTTACATGATAATCTTTTCCTTTGACAGCCTGGAATTGAAAGGCTTTCTAACTTAACCACATTGTGTGATGGTTCTGGTCCTTCATATCCCTTTTCTAAGACTAAATAATGCTCTAAGTTCAACATGCTGTATTTGTTTTCACTGAAGCAGAATTCTGGCTGACTTAATATTGAGTAATGAGTTATAGATTAAACTGATAGTAAATTAATACAGTTTTGTAGTCTTTGATTATGTTGGATGTTTTACCTAGACTGTTGTTGACTTCAATTCCAGATATCTGGGGATTAAGAAATCATTAAATGTTGATATTAATTGTTATTAATACTAATTAGAACCTGCTTGTACTCGAAGTCTTAAAGTGTATGCAGTCAGTGTAAATGAAAAAAAAAAAAAGTAGACCAATTACTTTTGTGTCACATGTTTTCAGACTTAATACATTCTGTGAATGCGTGTGCTGAATGGTTGCCAGGTTGCTTATTTTAATTACTCATTTGTCTTTGTTGGCTGACCTCTGCATGCACAATGATTCACTAATGCTGGATCTAATTTCTTATATTTTTAATTTCCTTTACTGATAGAAGGAGCACATTACATTTCTGACATAACTTAGGCCTTGTAAAATGAACCAGTATCATTATTAATGGATTTCATCAGCTAATCTAGTGGCCTTAGAAAATGCCAGTATGTAATGAATACAGTGCAGGCTTTGCTGTCTACTTCATGTGTTTTATGTTCAGATTTAACTGTAAACTAAATCAGTGTGGATGTACAATGGGAAGAGTATGCTTTCGAATAATTTCAGCTTTTTTACATGCAAATGCATTTATATATTTGTTTGAGGATTTTGTATGAAGATCTAGGCTTTGGCCACCCATGTGCAGACAGGCAAGTAAAGGAAGCCACAGGGAGTGATAATTCTGCAGTTCTACAGTAAGATAGGAAATACAGTTTTATTGGTTGAGCTTGTGAGATTTTTACTTGATAGCATTTATAACACTGTGTTAATGCACTTTATAGCATGTGTAATGAATTCCATGAGTTTCAGGAATTTGCTGTGTGCACCGAATTGAGATCTGTTGATTGCAGTGGAAAGCAGACACTGAGAAGAGTATAACTGAGGACACATGAAACCCATGTCATCTGTTCAGCAGAGCCACAACTTCAGATATTTTTGCAGTTGTTAATAGATCAGAGGTTCTGCCATCATGGTATTTACTTGCTATCTCATGAAGTTTTGCATCATACACTGGACATACCAGACTTAGAGAAATTTCAGGGTGCATTTAGATGTCCTAGAAAACATGATCTAAACTGAAACTTCTACTGAGATGTGTAGTCCCTACCAGCCGTTCCTAATATTTTCTTTTCATGGAATATAGTGATCATGTGGCCACAAAGTGACTCAGTTTGTTTGGATGAAAAGAACACTTTTCTGACTTATCAACTAGGTGAATCAGTTTAACTCTCTGGATTCATGATCTCCGGATGAATGAGGTGGAGGAATGGGAACTAAAGAGAAGAGTGAGGAGAGGAGTAGGTCTGCCAGTTTTGGTGGCAGCTACCTGCTGGATTGACATAGCTGAAACAACACATTATGTTTGCAAATTGCAGAAGTCTGTAAACCACATTAAGGAAGCATTTTCTTCCCTTCCCCATTCTGCTCATTTTCTCCCTTGTGCTATTGGTGCACATTAATACAACCATACTATGAATTAGATTAGGAAAATACTTTAGCTCTGAAGTAACTTGAGTAAAAAGATTCTTGAGATGGATCACATTCACATTGCAGTCACATTGCAGTGATCACAAGAGGATGGGAGCAACTGGACATGCAGTGGGAGCTTCTTCAGCAGACAGTATTCTTGATTAATTGTATTTCAAACAGGCACAAATAGAGAATAATGATACTGGCAGAGAGAATGGGTGAGGAGAGAATGGAGAGGTGTGTGGCCTCAGCAGCTGAGGAGAGAGGTGACCAACAGAACCAGTGTTGAGGGGGATTTGAGATACTTTCTTGGGGAGGATGTGTGGAAACACTTTAGTGTAAGAGAAAGATTCAAAACTTATGTAGTAGGAAGGAGGACTGTGAAAGATCAGTCTTAGTCACCGAATGAGCTTTGTGGATAGTCAGGGATAGAAATGAGCTTCTGGTTTTATTGAATTTCTACTTACAGAAGCAAATCAGTGATGTGATTATTTTTATTTTTTGAAGTTTCATCATAATAAACAATGTAAATTAAAGTGCACAGTAAGTTTAATGATCTTAAAATCACTGTGAGATGTTACAGTTGCAAAATAATGATGTCGTTTTGCACAATAGAGTGATATTTTGTAAGACTTTCATTTAGCAACGGGTGTGATAAGAGGTATAATATTTGCAGTGACAATCCAATCCATTAATTTTTATTCTTGACTTAGGAATAATACAGGGAGTACATTTATGTATATATCATTGTGGCAGGAAAAATAAATTAGTAGATTAAGACATTTTGGTATATCACAGAATTCCTTGGAAAATCAGTGCTGAAGACAACTACTAATAAACATGTTTTATACCTTTTACAAGAATTATTGTTACTTGATATAGCAATAAAGAAACTAAAGAGATCAAGAAAAAAAACCATCTGCTTCTCCTTCCTAAGTCTTTCTCCTTTGATCAGCATAATCATATGTAGGTTTGGACTGAAAGGCCAGTGGTTGCCAGAAAAAATGAGATTCATCAAGTGTGTGGTGTCAAAAAGTTATGTAAGCTGTCATCTGTGTATTTCAAGAGGAAGGACAGGGAAGAGGGATAGGAAGTGGTAGAATAAGAAAATTGCTGAAGTGCTTTCCTTTTTTTGTGTGTATGTTGGTGGTGGTGTGGGGGTTTGTTCTTTTTGAAGTGAAATCTATGAGGTTGAAGAAAGTGGATTAAAATCAATTTCAGGGTACAGTTTAAAGGTAGAAGGACTACCAGAGAATGTAGACTTAAAAAAGTGCATGAGTGTTGCCTTTTCATTGTATGTGCTCTTCAGCTGAGCTGTTGCAGTTAAGTCATAGGGTGCTCTGTGAGCTGTGTTGGTGACCTGACTGTCTTGAGACCCAAACTCACCAGTCTGTTGAGCTACTGCTATCTCCTTCTACACAACTTTTGTATGAACTGGGGCTGTTATTTTCCTTTCTGGTGCTAAATCTCTCTAGGTCAGGATCTGAGTTTACCACCTGGACTCTGCTCTAACTGATCTGGCAGGCACATGTGCTTCGTAATGGGTGGAGAATGTAAAACTTGTGGCTCTTTGTTCTCTCTGTCACTTTCCTTTGTGACCCTCCCTGTTGCTAAACCAGTAAAATTGAAATAATTGATTAAAGTATGAAATTGAATTTTTTTCTGTGTACTTGTGGTTGTTATTGCATGAAGAAAATAGTGCTGTTCCTGGTCTAGCAAACTTTTAAGGCACAGATTTGTAGCAAAATGTAGCTTCTTTTAAATTAGTTTTTTTCCTTTTAATCATAATTACTTGAGAAGAGTATCAAAATAGATTTTACACTTAATCACTGAGCTTTCCTGCTTTTTATGCCTCCCATGATTTCTAATTCTATCCACTATAGATGATTTAATTATTATATGTAGCTGAAACAGTGATTTCATCATTTGCCTTAGTTTTCTGCTGTTTTTTGCTCTTGAAGCTTTAAAGTTTTGGTTTGTTTGGGTTTTTGTTTGTTTGTTTGTTTTTTTGTGGTTTTTTTTTTTGTTTCTATCAAATTGGGAATGTTCTGGTACATGTATGCCTTAATATAACTGCCTACATTTTCCATAGTTTTAATAATACATGTTACGATTTTCAGTGGTAAATGTGATAAATTGATGTATAAGTGCATTTGTTTAATTCACCATGATTTAGCTAGGCAAGTCTCTTTTAGTCTTTTGTGTCCTTTGTTGAACTGTCTGTAACCTCATATTTTCTAATTCCAAGATTTATTTCTACTATGCTGCTTGCAGGAGAGTAGCTGAGAATTAATGACAATGTTGAAAGGCAGGTTAACTTTTTAGATTAAAGTGTGCAAGTAAAGGAGTCAGAAGATTATTTCAAGTTTTACTCTGATCCGTCTTCATGCTTTTTCAGTTGTAAACTTGTGGCAAAAATACTATGTTTTGTTTCTGATTTCTTGGTAAAGCATACAGTTTCAGGAAAGCAAAAACCATGTAGCACCAAAACAGCTGTAGTTGTAGTTGTAGTTCTGAGCAGGAAAAGAATTATTTCAAAAGACAGTGTAGATTTAAAAGTGAATGTGTTCTTGAAAATGTTTTATCCTCGCTATGAGTCAGAAAAAATATGGAAATTACATTTTCTTTTTTTCCCTTTTTTATTTATGTGTTAAATTTCATTGTTACAGTTTCAGAATAATTAGTTTTCTGCAGTCATATGGTTTTCCATAGTGAAGTGGAGAAAGCTATTTAAATAGGTAAAACATTACAGTGATGTTCCAAAATTCTTGTATAAAACTTTAAGACAGATTTAAATGTGTATTTTGGAATTCTCTATGTCTCAGTACAATTAACTTGCGTTGTTGTGTTTCTGTTTATGATGGTGGATTTTGTGCCATGGATGCTGTTCAATATATCTATATATGTCTTTTCTTTACAGAAAACCAACTTTTGGAATTCCCTGTGAGGAGATGCATCTGTGACATGGAGGTTGTGTTTGGTCATCTACAATCTGAGGCAACAGTGTGTGGGCTATATATGACAGAAGAATTAATTGTGGAGACAATTATAAGGAAATGATTTAAAAATGTTAGTGTCTCATGCCAAGTAATCGAAGTTTGGGAAAGCCTAGCAGCCCAAGAGTAAAAAAAAAATTACTTTTTTGTAAACGTTGGTGCAGAAAGAGCAAGCAGTCAATATATATTTTCCCATGTGTTCCCTGATTCTTTAGCACTGAAACTTTCATTACACTGAAATCATGGTATGAGGATTGGTGGAGAAGATCCTCCCCCCATCCCCAGCACACATCCAGCAGCTAGAGACTGTGTCAAGATGACCTCTGAGGAGATGACAGCGTCTGTTCTCTTCTCTGTGGTACAGGGTAAAGTGATAGCTGCCCAGTCAGCTGGAGATGAAAATACTGAAAATGCTTTGGACACCAGTGTTATAAGAAGACATACAGCCAGTTCGGGAAGGCAAACCACACACAATCTGTCTTACTTACACAGACTTGAAGAAAAAAGTCTTCAGGGCTCAGTGCCCAAAATATTCCCTCTGGCCAAAGAACAACTGGCTAACGACAAGAGTAATGAAAATTTCTGGGAGAGGAACAGCTCCATCTCTGATTCAGTGGAATTTCTTAACATTAACTGTAACATTGTACAGAAAAACTACAAGAGCAATATCTCCTGCAGCCAGTTGTATCAGTCGTGTGCTCCTTTAGCAGGGGAAGAGGCATGCCTGGAAACTGGAATTCCTGTTTCTCTGGAAAGAGCCATGCTTGCTGAAATTCAGTTGAAAATGAATGGACCTTCATTAAGAAGCCAGACAGCAGTAAATAAGAATGACAGCAGTGATCCTGATAAAGTGGCCTTTTTTCACTTGCATTGTGCTAGTGAAAGGAATATATCAAAGGCTTTGTGTGGTTTACACAACAGCTTCATTTTGGATGACTGCTTGCAGCCCGTGAGTGATGGGGATGGTAACACCACTGGTTCCCCAGCCTGCACTTGCAGCATAATGCAGTTGACAAATAATTGTGAGAATAAAAATGGACAGCAGTTGTACGAAGATGCTTTAAGGGATAAGTACTTATGTCTGGAAAGAGCACCACGAAAGGTTAAAGTGGCGTGCTCAGGTCACAGCTTCTGTGGAAATAACTTTACTGGAAGAATGCCCTCAAAGCCCTTTCTGAGCCATTTTGAGGACTGCAATGATAACTGTGAAGAAGAGCTGGAAGAGGATTTTTTTAGAAACAAAAAGGAACGTTCTACATTATTAATAAGACGTTTCTGTAAAAATGACAAAGAGGTTAAAAAATCAGTTTATACTGGAACAAGAGCAATCTTTAGGACTTTACCATTGGGGCACATAGGAACTGTTGCTTGGAATTATGTTGAGCAGAGGAGAAACAACTGTGGCATGAAGTTTTCTAGGATTACAACAGAACAGCTAACTATAATTCAGTCCCTAATAAAATGGAAATGTAATTCCAGTCCTGAGAAGTCTTTATGGTATGAGGTAAGCTTTTCATAGTGCTTTTTGAGTTTGGTTTTTTTTTTTTTTGTTTCCTTGTTTGCTTTGATAGCGTGAAGACCTTCCCATTAAAAAAGTACCTTCAACTGGTAAATATTTAGTAACACTGAATCGGATATTTGACTTATCCACATTGGACAACCTTAAGCTGAACACAGCTTTTCAGAAAAATGTATTGTCATCCTTTGAAATTCTTTTGGTTTAAAATAGACACGTGGTAAATATGTCTATAACTATAAAAAAATGTGTATAAAATCTATACATATATATGTATATACATATATATCAGTATAAAACGTGTATGGGTAATATTTATACATAGATTTATGTATACATTTATTTCTTGATAAATATTCTTTGCATTTAAGAATATAACACAGCTATATACAGAATAAACAGATATATGCATTTTATAGACATTTATATTTTAAACAGAAAAGGTATGTAACATACACTTATATTTTTCCATATATATGATAGGGGTATAATTATATATTATAGGTGTACACATTTTAATATATATAGCATATGTATTATACATATATAATACGCATATACATACATATATGTATAAATGTTTGATGAAAGAGATAGTTGTTCCATAAATATAATAATAGCATTATATATGAGAGTATTAGATTACAGTAAAAAATTTGCTCAGGAAAAGAAAGCACAGTATTTCCCCAAGTTAAGGTATTTCTATTTCTGTTACACCTATTTTACAATAACAAAACAAGTAATACTTGAATAATATACATTAAGGTGCTGATACTGCCCTGGTTTGTGTTCTCTTAAGTTACATAATGCAAGAAATTGTAAGTTTAGAATGAAATAATGAATGCATAAATTATTATTGTATGAATTACGTAGCACATTCTTAATACATTATTTTAAATAGTAAAATATTTTCTGTGCTGGTAGAAATTAAATAGTTGTTGACATAATGTATAAAAGATTTTGACCACTGATTACTGAGCTTAGCAATAAAAGGAGCTGTAGTTTTTCTCTGTTAAAATATATGAATAAGCTTGAGGGAGGGGAAAATAATCAAGGCAAAGGAGTGTGTTGTCATATAAGCTATGCTTATAAATTGGTCCTGAATAAATGGAAATATCTTCTTCTCAAAGAAATTTCTAGCACTTATTGCTCAGAGTCTTCAATAACTTTCAGTAGGACTGAAAGGGAGGAAAACTTACATATGTGGAGTCGTAGAATCGCCTATCATTTACATTCATGTAAGATCACAGAATCCTACTGTAAAATTGATCAAACAAATATGAAATCTTGTCAGTGGTAAGGGAAGCGAGGACTCTATGACTCCATGACAATTGTGCCCTCCTGTAATATCCTCATGTCCTTCTAGAAATTAGTATTTTTCCATTTAAATAGTTAATTGAAGAGTTCTATAAACATATGTTTGTCAGGTTTTTTACCAGGTTGCAGAGCTTTGTGGTACTATTGATTATTGTGAAATTCACTGGTCAGTGGAAGCACAAACTTGCTGGGACAGCAGATACAGCGAAGAGTGCGTGATCATTGTCCCACAAAGGGATGAATATAATTCTGTGGGTTTACTTAACATGGTGTATGAGTGGTACATTTAAGTATCATTGTAAGCATCATTTTAAGTTTTATGGGGGAGAGATGGGATAGTGTTTTGTAGCTGAGAAAGCTGAAGGTTTGTATGTGTTTATATTTCTTCATTGGGCATTTCCAATTGGACATGAGTTCCTTAGTTTTTATCATGCTTGCCTGTTTAACCACTTTCCACTACCATTGTATAATACTGAATATAGAGCATTTTGGGGTGGGAGAGCTTTAATTTGAATATTGTTTTGTAGCCTGTATATAAAATCTCAGAAACAAAAGTAATAAGTATTCACTGAATAATTACTTAAATAGAAAAAGTTCTGTCTGCAAGTCAGCAAAAGATAAACAGGCACTGTAAAGCACTTTGCATAACTACAATGCACAGAATGTTTTCCTCAGATTTCTGACCATAACACATGGTCAGAAAAAGCTTAAACCCACATGTTTCTAAGTATTTCTTTATCCAAATGGACATTAAATCTGTTTTTCTTCTTATAAACTCTGATATAATCTCCTTATGTACAACATTCATCAAGTTCTCTTAGCATTGTTTTTGTGTTATTTTAGTGTTGAACATTGTTTCTGCTTAATATTTGTATGTGTTTATGGCTTATATTTTTAGCATTATAGATGGATTTACATAAACATAGAAATTAACTTAATGGATGTGACAAATATATGGACCTATTGAATGTATGCACTGGGTTAAAATAATTTAATGAATTATGGGCATTTGTAGGAATCTTTCATGAAAATAATCAAAGGAAGAAGAAAAAAGTAGTAAATGAATGTGGTAATTTGTTCTTCCTTTCCCCTTATCTCACCCTTTGAGCATGCATTCTGTTTGGAACAGCTAAGTGAACAGTAGTTCTGTTCTTCATGAGGAAAAAAAAAGTTGGAGAAATTAAGTTTTCATAGCAGTACTGGTATAACATGGAACAATAGAGACCTTTGTGTTTTAAAGTAGGAAAATGTGGGTCTTATTTGTGCATATCCCATACATAAAAATTCTAACTTTAATAGAGGAAAGGCACTGAGCTGTCATTTGGTTGAGTTTTTTGAGGTGGTACTAAGGATTTGCACTATATAGAAAATACATATTTTCTATATATTTTTCTATTTTTCTATATTTTTTCTAATTTTACACTTAGTTTTTGTAGCTAAATACAGTGCAGCATTTACCCTTATCAGATGGGCGTGTGCAACATGGCTGTTGTATCTGTTCAGGAGACATCTGCTTGTCTGTGTTGGAACAGTGCAAGCCCCTCACATTAGTACATATTAAGGGAGTCACAAGTGCAAAGAGTTTGCCATAAAACAGATGATGAGAGTGCAGGCCAGGCCCTGGGGTTGGCTTTGCTTGAACAGGTATCCACTGCTTGGGTTCAGCTCATCTGCACCGAGTTAGCAATCTGACTAATTCCCAGAGTCAGAGTTTCCGGGATCTGTGAGATATCTGTGAGATCCCGGAAACTCTGAGATTTCCTAGAGCTGAAATACACTTCGTTTTTTGCTGATATGATGGTGGTTTTGTCGTGGTTTTGTCGTGGTGGTAAAGTAATGTGACAAAAGTAAACCTGTCCACCATTGACTAAGGTAAGAAATCTGGGCAGCTCACTAGACTTTTCACAGAGTGATTCTCTCGAGCTATGTAAGTGACCTCAAGATCTGCAGATGACAGCTGCAACAACATAGCTGCAGTGCATAATACCTAAATTCTTTAGTTAAGCTTATTTTGTAGGCGTCAGTACTATCTTTGCTGTGTCATTACATTCCTGGTGCCAGTAGTTTGAGCTTTAAGAAGCAAGAGCTCTGCTGCCTTGCTCAACTCTGCTCAGATAGAAGTTAACACTGTGATATACCTGACATTCTTGATAGCTGCTAAGGTGCTACTAAAATGCCAAATACTAATTAGGCAGCAATTAAAGAAAGTATTAATTGTCCCACATCTGTTCCCATGGAGAAAAGTGATTCTGTAATAGGTTTTTCTTGTGGGAGTTTTTCATAATTCATGTAA